CCACTTGGAGAACTTATCCGTGAGCACTAGCAAGCATGTGTTGCCATTTGTTGAACGTGGCAGTGGACCTACAAAGTCCGCCGTTACAACTTCCCACGGTAGTGWGCATTGCATGGTGGCCATCATCCCAGCGGGTCGGCGCTGGTCTACCTTATATTCGGCACATTGTTGGCATCGATGCACATATCTGAGTGCATCCCTATGCATCCCAGGCCAATAATACCCTTCTTGTGTGCGTTTGAGTGTTTTGTGTACAGCCAAGTGACCGCCGGTGCTAGCGTCGTGATTTTCTCTCAGGACTTCGAGTCGACGAGGCTCTGGTACGCATAGTTTCCAGCATGGTGACCTGAACAGCTTATTGCCGAAAGAGCCGGCCATCGATAAGTTGGTAATCGGGATATTTCTTCGGTTGATCGCGTACCTGGCGCGTACGTCTTTCATACCATCTATCCGGTTGATCACGGACGGCATGCAGAAGTTCCGCATCGCCTCCTTGGACTTTCCATGGGCATCTGGATAGCGCATCGGCGACTACGTTGAGGGTACCTTTGCGATACTCTATTTCGAAGTCAAACTGCTGTAGCTCTAGTGCCCACCTTGCAATTCTTCCGGACGGGTTCTGCAGGGTGTGAAGCCATTTAAGTGAATGATGGTCGGTGATTACGGTGAAATGATAGCCCTCCAGGTACGGTCGCATTTTCCTTATGCCCCACAATATGGCTATGCACTCCTGTTCGGTGGAAGAGTACCGCTTCTCCAATTCTGTCAAGCTGCGACTGGCGTATGCTACGACCCGTTCTTGGTCAGAATGACGCTGAAATAGCACTACGCCTCGTCCCTCTCCGCTGGCGTCAGTCTGCAGACAGAAGGGCCTCTCGAAGTCGGGGCAACCCAGGATGGGTGCACTAGTTAGTCTTTCTTTTAACACCTGGAATGCTTCTTCTTGTTCGGATCCCCATGTCCAACGCTGGTCCTTTTTTAATAGGCGATTTAGCGGTGCTGATATTTTGGCGAAGTCTGCTACGAAACGTC